GGGAGCGGGCTGGGGGCGGGGCGGGGCAGGGCAGAGCGTGGGGTTGCGGGCACTTGGGGACCGGGCTCGGCCCTGCGCCCCGGCCCCGGCCCCGTCTCCTCTGTCGAGTCTCGCCCCTCATGTGAAATGCCCGCAGCCGGCTCTGGGGCGGGTGCTGGCTCTAAGAAGCCGAAAGCAGGACAGTAGCAGTCGGGCCGTGTCAGCTTGTGCCTTGTGTCTCCCCCTGGCAGACCCCAGAAGAAATAGAGAGGCTGACGGTGGACGAAGAACTCAATGATATCGAGAGGGCTGTTTACCTGCTCAGGTATTTCCTAACTGGCCTCTTGAAATCTGGCTGCCCACCTTGCATGCAACCCATCTTTGTTAGACTTCATCCTCCTTGCTTGGCAGCCGTTTTTTTTGGTTGGTAAAATGGTTTTATTTTTCTTGTTGGTACCTTAAGAACAGAGAGTAAATCTGTATCCTTGCTCTGTGTTTTTTGTTAAGCTTACACCAATTGACATTGGATAGGGATGCCCTTACAGACTGACCAGTGCACCTTTTCTAAAATGACCCTCACCACCACTGAGTTACATTTCATTTTTTTTCCTCCTGCCATTGGTTTTATCAGGGTCACTGGATGCTGGTCTTAATGAGAGCAATCCTTCACTGACTTCACGTTTGCTGTAGAGCATGAGCATATAGTATACTGACGGGGAAGCTGAGCTGACTTAATTGCATCTGTCCCGACCCCATAAAGAAAGAAACTCTGGTAGAGTTCAGTTTTGCAGTCCAAAGAAATGACACTGTAATAGTGATTTTAATGCTTAAACATTTTCTTATTTCTCATTGCACTCCCTTTTTTCTAGGTCCATAAATGACTATTCACTGTTACATGTCTTACATTTTAAAAACTAGGATCTCTTTTGACTTTGCTGCAGTTGTCATTTCTTTCATTTTTGAAAGGAGAAGCTGTCCTGTAGGATTTTGAGTTGAATATACATTTTTATACAATACTCAGTAATTGGAGAGCCAGCTGCAACCTTTTTTCCAGTTGGTCTATTCTCCTATTTTTAGTACTCCTATGAGCCTGTGCTTGGTCTTGATTTTTAAAATGTTTTTTTTTGTGTTGGCAGCATTTTTAGAGGAACACTTTTGTCCACCTGCTCTACTTCAAATAATTTTTTTTTTTATCTTTTAAAGCTTCAATCTTTTGATTATTAAAGGTCTGATCTTGAAACATGTACTAATGCAGAATGGTCCCTGCATACATGAGTAGTCCTTTTGACTCTAATTGAAGCCCAGTGGAACCAGGATTGGAGCCAGAGTAGTACTTAAGGTTTTAGTTCCTTATCTTGTATCAGTTGGCAGTCTTTTCCCTTCTTTGCTGCATTGTGGCAAATTTCTTTGTTTCTTTCCTGATTAAAGGTCATGTTTCCAACAGTATGTCAGTACTGGAGCATTGCCTGGTTAAAGGGTAAGAAAGAGGTTCCCCTGAGCATCTTTAATCTTACTGCCAGTAATTGCTTCTCAGCCTAAGCTTGCACTCTCCTTGACTTTCTCATCTTCTTTCTTACTACCTGAATAGCTGTTCTGAGTACACATTCTTTTCCTTGTAATGAAGTTTGTGTATCTGCTTGGGTATAGTCCTGAGAGTTACTTTCATTTCTACTTGATAAGCTTTTGTGAGAGGATGAATCGCTTTCTGCATTGAAACTCTCAGGAGTATGCATTACTCCAGTGTAAGCATTTGCCATTCAGTACTGTAGGAAAAACTGCCCCTCTTTGTCTGATTATAATCCATCAGCCCCAGAGCTGAAGTGGGATCAGTCTATATTAGGAGGAGTATTCTCTCTCTCTGCATTTTTATCTATTATGTCACACTTTTCCCCCCACTTACTCCTCTCTGCCAGTGCTGTAAGCTTTCTTCTCCCATTTGTCAGCTTCTTGCACAGATGTGTATGTGCTTTATTCCATGCTGTCCCTCGTGCATAAAACATACTCGCTTAGCTTATCTAAAACACCCCGCTGCCTTTTCCTCATAAAACTCTCATCTTTAGATCCATTTTAGTGGCACTGATATTTATGAGAAATTAGTCAGTGTAATGATGGCTGTGAATGCTTGGTGGAGATGGGTGATTCATTATCTATCTATGTATCTATCTAATAAATAGGTGTCAAGGGTTTTTTAATTAGGGGTATATCAAAATCTGATGGTATGATTGCATTCTTCCTGCCCTATCATTCATAGTGTCACTGTTTTTTCTTTGACCTTGATTCTGCAACTAAAGACTACTACTAAAGGGTATACCCCTTAGTGGTAATGTACTTGTACAGCTTCTGGCTGAGGAGTATTGTGCTACAGCGATATGAATACTTAATAATAAGTATTTTTAAGAGTGAGAACGGCAAGTGAATATTCTCATTGCAATCCTTCTTACATTTTACAGTCTTTATAATCTTCTGTGTGAGATTATTTTTGTTTCAGAGGAGTGGTTTTGATTTTCAGAGTCCTTTCTCCCAAGTCCTTTGGTACCAAATCACTAATTTACATTTAACTATATTGTCACTCTTCTTGGAAACAGTAGTACTTTCCTTTTAGTTATCTGAGGGTTTCTGATGCATAACTTGCTTTATTTTCTGTCACTGAGTTTCTTCTGTACTATGTCTGTGATGATGTTCCATTCACTTTGTTCTCATAAATTTAACAACATAGTCTTCCCTTCATGTTGTCACAATTTGTAAAAACACTTTTCTGAACATCTAGTGTATTTGTCACCCCCCACTCTCCCGATCTGTTTATCTCTCTGTGCTAGTTGTCTGTTATCTTATATTTATTTTATAAACTCTGTAGTTCTGTCTGTTCATTATATGCGAGTATAACTCACGGTACAATAAAGCCTCAATCCCTGGCTGTGGTCTCAAGGTACTACTGCAATACATAAAATTGCTTATGGTAACATTTTACTTTCATGAGGATGTTGCTTTATTGTAACTATAGTTTGGTGCAATGAACATGAACTTTTTTTTTCTTTTACCTCCAATGGCACTAATCATTTGAAACTTTGTCTGTCATGTGTCTGTGTTCTTCTACAAAAGGACAATTTCTGCTATAAAAATACTATTTGTTTTTGGAGGTAAAGCTCTCACAATGCAAATAGCTCCTGAGAACATGCACACTGTAGAAAATTAAAATTCTGACTTTTGGAGAATATTTTAGCATTGGTTTGGAGCAGTGGTGCCCAACATTTTCACCTGGTGGGCTGTATGAGCAGCGCCAGGTTTATCCATGCTCTGGATTTGGCCCCTGGGCCCAATCTGGGTGGATAGTGGCAAAGGCCTGATCCAGTCATGTGGATCTTGGAAATTTGATGGAGGGGCAGTGATTTGCTAATTGCCACAGCTCCCATCACCAAATTTCTGGACCTGTGGGCAGCCCCATGGGCTGGATGACCTGGCTCCCCAGCCTGGGGTTGAGCACTCACTCTGGTTTGGAGAATCAGGTTTCAATAACTGGTTCTGCCTGTGCTTACAGTGATAATTTAAGTTCAGTAAGGCCTGATGAAGTAAGGTTGTGGCTGCAAATGAGGTTGTTGTTAATCTCTGGCAATCATCTCTGAAAGAGATTGTCCCTTGGACCTGGGCAACTGACTCAAGGTATTTAGAAGCATAACTTCCATTGAAATCAATGTGATGTAGACACCTAATAGGAAATGCAGTGAAAGGCTAGGACACAGATCCTCAAAGGTACCAGTATTCAGAAAGCTGTTTCTACATTTGTAAAATAGTGATAATGCAAGCCTATCTGACAGTGGTGTTCACAACTAATGAATGGTCTTATAATGTCTGTAAATATTGCAGTGTACTCTTCTGAGGCTTAATGCCAATAGTAAAATGTTGTGTTCTTTGTCCCAGATAAATTTGGTTTGGTTTGGGGGGAAGTATCAGTCATCTGTATACATAGTGGTCTGTGGCTTGTTTTTTGAAGCATTCAGTGATATTTTTCTAATTATCTTACGTTACTGCATGCATTGTATTGTATTCAGCTGCTTTTGTTTGTTTAGGCTACTTAGTTTTGGAAGCTTCCAGGCCTTGACATTTTTGTCATATTCAAAACTATAGAGAAATAATGTGTTATCAAGTTGGATGATTTAATTATGCATCGTTTTTGGGAGTATACTTTGCAGCAGGAAGCATCACCTTAAAAAAAAAAGAAGCAAGAAATATTATTTTCTTGAAGTATTTAACACAGAATAATATTGTATGCAAAATAATCACAACTTTTTTTACAGATGAGAGAATAGTTTTTAGAACTTGATATGTTTGTATAAGCACAATAACTGTCATAATTTTAATGCTGTCATCTCAGATCACTTGGAGTATTCTCAAATTTTTCTCAGTTTTTATCCATTCAGTGTTTTGCCTGACTGTAAGTTGTAAAAAATAATAAGATTTTAAAAGAATGAAATTGGGTTTTTTATTTGCCTGCTTGCTTTTTAACCTTTAGACCTCATGTTGTCAAGCTTTTCCCTGCTTTGTGAGGTTTAGCAACTAATTATTATTTTTTTTAAATGAAAGCTGAAATTCTTATGTAAGCATCTAAATACAGGAGCTGGAATTTTAAGTCAAGTTCCAAATATTGCAAGTGGAATCCTGAGGGCTGGCAACACTGCTGCAATATCTAGACTTCCTAACTTGTGACTATGGTGCCTACACAGGATTTTGAAAGAGTCAATTGTAGCATTTAGCACAGTAGCAAAATATCCTCTTAGCTTTACCAGGGAACAGCAAATATTAACATTACAAAAACCTTCTTTCTCTTTGCTCCTTTATTTTCTTAGGCACTTATGTGATTGTAGCTTATCTTTTTTCCCTGTTTTATAAATTGCAGTATAAATGATATGAAAGTTTAACTACTGGTCCGTTTATTTGGATACATAAATTAGGTGGCTGATGTTGGTTCTGTTATGCAAATTAATTCCTATATAAGAAGTTAGTGAAACAAAAAGTTGAAAAATAGAGCATGTCTCTCAAATTACTCCTGAGCTGCTATTTTTCCTAAAAATTAGATATGTGAAAATATAGTTACCGTTGCTACTCTTAAAATGCAGCAGAGGAGCCAATAGAAACAGTAACAAAATGTAACAGTGTTTTTTTTTTTTTTTACTTTTTGGCCCCTGGAAGTCAGAGATACTGAGATCTTTGAGAGAGACTTTTTTCAAGGGCCCTGAGAGAAGGGCAGGACACTGCTCTAGAGAAACAACTAAATACTGAGGAGAAGGGAAAGGAAAAACTGTTGCAGCTTCCTCCTTTGCTTGCATATGC